CTCCACTAGACCTGTGACACTAACACTGCTGTCTCCACTAGACCTGTGACATAAACACTGCTGTCTCCATTAGACCTGTGACATAAACACTGCTACCTCCACTAGACCTGTGACATAAACACTGCTGCCACCACTAGACCTGTGACACTAACACTGCTGTCTCCATTAGACCTGTTACATAAACACTGCTGTCTCCATTAGACCTGTGACATAAACACTGCTGTCTCCATTAGACCTGTGACATAAACACTGCTACCTCCACTAGACCTGTGACATAAACACTGCTGCCTCCACTAGACCTGTGACACTAACACTGCTGTCTCCATTAGACCTGTGATATAAACACTGCTGTCTCCACTAGAACTGTGACATAAACACTGCTGTCTCCACTAGACCTGTGACATAAACACTGCTGCCTCCACTAGACCTGTGACATAAACACTGCTGTCTCCACTAGACCTGTGACACTAACACCGCTGGAACTGTTTTACTTTGAACAGAAAGTCTCAAGTTATGAAATCTTGTGTTAAACACAGCATTTCCAATACTATCAGTTAGTTTTCCTATTGGATCAGCGAATGGATGATGTAATAGTTAAATATTCAAACTGCAACAACATGAGAGTTCAGTGTGTGAAGTCCTGCCTGTACTAGGGATCGAACCAGCAGCCTTCAGCTCCCCAGACCGAGGCTCTACCATTTGAGCTGAAGGGAAGTTGTCTTAAGCATGAAGCTAGAAAGTGACTTTGTCTGTCCTATACATGTTAACTTAAAACCTGCCACAACATTAACGACAGTCTGACAATGGTACTCCTATATATATATATATAGCTAGTATACCCCTTTCTCCCCTCCCCTTACTTAAACAATAATCTGGGATGTAATTAGCTATATTGTTAATTTAGTTTTCTTTGTTTGAAAGTTACTAGTAATACTTGTCTGAAATATTCGGCCTGCCAGTATGTATTATCTTATTGCTATGTCAGGGCTGATAAGATTTCAAAAATCTACAATTCTAAACGGCACAATAAGCAGTCACGGAGTTACTTTGCATTTCTGGTTTCCAGTCCTACATAATATTCTACTCTCAAACCATCAGACTGCACTTTGTTGTGTCTGGGTCATGTATCAAATACTCTAATTGCCTCTTGGGGCCGTACTGTTTCCCCACCACAGGAGAGATATGGAAACTCGTGTTTCTGACTTGCTTTGTTAATATATAAAAGGAGATTTATGAAAGTCCAGATATTCCAAGCTGCATCCTTTCTTGGCCAACTGTTGTACTTCCCACAACAAAGTTATTTCTTTATTTTTTATTTTTTTATTTTTCTTTGGGGGTGGGGGTGGGGGGTAATTTTGTACTTGAAGACCGTGTCTTTGGACAAAAATTATTTGTCACAGCATCTCCTCTAAAACTACCAATCTGTTATCAGTATACATATGATCAGTAAATTGCACATTATGTCTTTTGGAGGTGAGATCCAGTTTTTCACCTAAAAGTCCTTGTAGATCTACAACTGTTTGATGTAGTAAGAAAAATTTCAAACTTAACCTAAAATTAGAGCTGCTGTTGTACAAAACGTTTTTGTATAATTCCAAATTAAATTGCATTGCTTAATTGATTCCCAAATGTGAGATGCACAAAATGTACTTGAGTATGGATGTGCCTAGGAGGCAAGCCATTAGCAGTCTGACCTGGTCAAGTCACAAGTACAGTAATTTTAAATTCATTTAAACTGCCATAGTTAGGCCACTTTATAATGGTTATATACTTAATCACCAGCAGGCTATGTATAAACTATTTTCGTAAATGGACTTTTCTTATTGATTCCACAGGATAGAAATGTACACTGCTGTGAGGAGCTCTTAAAAATCTGTTAATAGTTTCGTTAGCTTTTTCATGAACCTTTTTTAAGTAAGACCAGTGGATCTGGGTCATGTAAGCTCACACACAGCTTCTGGAACCCTTAGTGCTGGACTGGGGACAACTACACCTATAAACATGTGCCTTAGTGGTTCCCTAAGCTGCTATTTTAAATTGATGACAACTAAAATATATGTAGATTGGAATTGGCTTATCTAAGATATAATCTTATCACAGTTTAATAATATTTTAGGGGACATATACATAATAATAATAATAATAATTTGAGGTTCTTATATACCGCTTTATCACAACATAGTTTGTAGGTCGTCTCAAAGCGGTTCACAAATTATTGTCCGTGGTTATAGGGCCTTTGCAACCAGCCAGTATCTTTCTAAACTCCCTGGGGAGCATACAGCTAGTGCTGCCATTTCGGTGCTCACAGCTAGCATTCAACAATTCTAGCACTGCCCAACCACGAACTCATTCACAGCTGAGTAGACTGGATTAAGCGGAGTCAAGTACCTTGTTCAAAGATACAACACAGTGTCGTGACTCGACTCGAACCCGTAACCCTTCGGTCACGAGCCTGGCGTCCTACCACTAGAATACCGTGCATGCATGTACAACTGATCTTAATCAAATTGATGAAGATAAAGTCTGAAGAAATGTCCCAAAAATTGTGTAAAGTACCCTATTATTTTCTGTTGATGAAAACATGCTATATGTTTAAATTATACAAAAACTTCAAGCTTGTTTTGGATTTTAAAATCTTGTGAACTTCAAAAAGCTTATTTAGAAGCCTTTGACAGTTGTTTGACAGATATTACATACTTAAAATTGTCCCAGACATTATTTTGTCAGTTTCATTCCAGTCACTTGAATTATTGGGTGCTTCGTATCAGGTTACTTAAGAAAAGCTAAAAAAAAAACCGTCACATTGTGAAAATTCTTAACTAAATCAGAGATATTGGAGACAACTTTTTATTTGAAATTAGAGATACTTTAGAAGTCTTATTTGAAACAACAATGTGAACATGACACAACAAGATTACTTAGGATATAAACTTAAAAACTAATAAAAACAAAATTGAGTTAAATAAATACATTGAATTAATTTTTAATAAAACATTCATGTTTTGATTCATTTAAATTTTCAAAATTGCTGTAATATTTATATATACAAAATTGCTGTAATATTTATATATACAAAATTGAAAGTGATTAAATTACCATTTTAATGATACATATGTAATGTGTTAGGGTAAAAATATGAATAAGGAACAGAAAGTCCTGATGTATTAAACGGTCATGGTTGACCTATATACCTGAACCACTCCCAGGTATCCTAATAAAGTATCATTGTTTACCTGTTCCACTCATAAAAAGGTGGGGGGGTTTCCAGGAAAGGAATGGACGCCTATCTTGTTAACTTAATATACAGATGTGTTGACCCGAGTTATGTGTATTGACCAAGGTCAGATGGGTCAAGCTCATTGAACACTGGTCAGACTGTCAGTCATAACACATTCCAGATCCATCAGATAAGACATGTATTGTTATCTATCTGCATGAAAAACAACTATTTACTACTGTGAGGTGAACCATGCCAGTTTGTCACTCTGGGGGACTGATATATTAACTGCTATGTTTCTGTCAATCTATTAAATCCATGTAGATTCCCTTTCTATGGAAACAATTGAATTGTAGGGCTAGGAACAATTGTATTGTAGAGAATAAGATCAATTCCATTATAAGAATTGGGAATAATTGTATTAGAGGGCTTAACCCTTTCACCACTGTAGACCATAATGGGCTCAACCATACCAATGCATGGTAGAGTCTACTAAAGTTACATAGGGGTGAAAGGGTTAGGAACAAAGCTATTAGAGACCTACCTACTTTTTATGTGGATGTGTGTCATCTAGAGACAGATGCACAAATCTCCCTAAGTCCATTCCCATTGTGGTTTAGAGATGACCAAGTCATCTCGTTGACATTAGCTGTATCCCATACTGTGGTTTAGAGATGACCAATGATAAAGTCTCCCAGGCTGTGGTTTAGAGATGACCAATGATAAAGTCTCCAAGGCTGTGGTTCAGAGATGACCAAGTCATGTCCCTGTCAGTCTCCCAGGCTGTGATCAACATTTGCTTCTTTTTGTTAATGAGTCAGACTTGTGAATCATAATCACTTAAGTGATCTTCTGTAATAACAACAAATCTGTGTTTATAAATGACACCCCATTCCGTAGACATTAATTACAAACCTTAAAGCCCCGATTATGTATATCTTATTCTCTTAAGGCCCTAAAAATGACAATGAATACTGCATACCATTTTCCTAAGGCGGAAATCCTAATGTATTTCGGGAATCCACGTGTCTGCCTGAAAAATGTTATGACGAAGAAATGATTTCATGGGCGTCTGTAATTGTTGCAATATACATTTATACAAATGGAGTACAAATGTTTTTTCTAACAGAAACGGCTAATTAGGACAGCATGGTGAATGTTTGTAGATTATGTGGGTTAGTAAAACAGTTTGTAGGCAAGGACTGTATTTACATAAAACCCAAGGTTACGATTTAGACCTATTGCCTGTGCATGTGTGTTCTGATTGGAAAATTGATAATACTTTTTACTCGTGACATTTTGTAGTGATCTGTTTGTGACAGAAATGTATATATCCCTCAGGTAATATGTAAATCTGTATCGGGCAGGTGCTTACCTGTAAAATATTCATTTAAGTTTGAGTAATAGAAAAAATATTTAGCAGTTTATCAGATCTTAATTAAAAGCAAGAAAAAAATGGCCCAGTGTTGACAGTGGAGTTACTTCCCTTTAATGTAGCTATAGTGATACCACTTTTATGGAGTTTGACTAAATATCTAATCCTGATGAAAATTATTTCATGAGGCAGCACCAAGGTCTCAGAAAGGTTGGAGTTATCTGCCAAAATGAAAAATAGAAAAAGCACCAATATGGAGGAAAAAAAGTATTTGTATGGGAGTAAAACATTCCAAAAATGGATTTTTTTTTCGAACAAATTCATTATATATTACATATGTAGTTAATGAAAAAACTTTGTACTGTAGATAGTGAAGGAATCAAAACAGAATTTGTTTTATATTTCCAGTGCTTGGAGCCAGGGGATACCGGAACAGTTCGACGACGAAACAAAACGGTGGTGACCCCTAAAATGGCGATGGAGAGTTTTCGGTTTTCTTTCCTCAACTCAGAAGGTAAGTTTTAGTAAACTATGTTTTCTCTTACCAATAATTCTTTAGGGCAACCAAGATATGTTTCTGCTTTTGGCTTACAGTATGATAAGACTTGGTAGGTAGGCATAACTTTTTATATTGCTAAATGGTTAATTTTGCATACAACAGCATTTTAGATCATAACAATGCTTTCTGCAAATGATCAAAAACGATATTGGGGTATGACGATGAAGTCAAGTGTAGTTCGACAAAGCAGAAACAGATATTATTTTGGCCCTATGATTCAGCCTAAGACTTGTACCATATTTGATGTAATAAGGGCACCTCTAATTTCATTAAGGGCACCGCCAGGGATTTTGAAAATATAATTTGAATGCTAAGCGTAAAGTCATGACTTTTTTACGATTCAAGATTTTATAATTTTCCAAAAGTTGTTTGGTTGGTTAAACAACTCCTGTCACCAAAATTACTGTAACAAGTTTGTTAAAGGAAAACAATGATGTCATGAAAGTGAAGCACTCCACTTGTCATTTGTCTCACTTTTCACACAATTTCTGGTTCTCTTATTCCTTCAACAGCATGGTACCTGTTCTGTTCCCAAGTGCCCAGTGTCACATTCTAATCATTCAGACATACTGAAATTTTGTCAAAGCATTGATTTGCAGTCAGTGTTTTGTGGTTTGTACATACAGTAATTCTCAGAATGTTATCAAAATATGTCAAGTTTCATTACCATACATACAAACATTTAAATAACCTTGACTTTTCACCAAGTTGCCGGGCAACAAAATAGTAATAATTGTCAATCAGAAGCTTGTCATCTACCAGCTATGTAAACCTTTAAATAATTCTCAGATAACAATTTTATGGTAGACATTAATGACATTTAAGCTGTGTGTTTATACTTTCAGCTTGTTTGTAATGCAGATGTTTATTTCTCAAACACACAAAATATTTCTATACTGACTGATACACTTTACCAGAGGGGTGTCAGCTACAAAATACGGAAAACAATTCCTTACATTAATGACACATTATATCAGATGCTTACATAATATAATTTTTCATGAACTGTCATGACAGTGGCCTTAAAGCCTTACAAGCTGGCTTTAGTATTGGTTCAATGATCACATAGTTTGTAGTAATTAATGACCTCGTGAAGCCACTTAGACTATTAAAAAGGGCTTTATGTTAAATGTGGAGGTAACTGATTTATATTCAGTTGTAATAATCAAAATATAGGAATTCCATAATATTTGCAGTATTGACGTGTCTGTATCTTCTGTGCAACCCATAGTCCTTCAATAGCCAAACATCATCTAAATGTTTGCATCTTACAATGATCTCATGATAATTGAGTCAGGAGGAAAAGCATCGAAATGACACTGATTTAATTGTGTTCAAAGCGCCTTAATTAGCAAATTCTTCTGATTAAAGCATTTATATACATGGACTTGATGCAGCAATGGGATTATATGATAGTGAATTTACATTGCAATGGTCAGACCTGCTAACCTTTGAATCTCCCAATGGGGGTCATGACCCCCAATTGGGAAATTCTGTGAGGGGTGATAATGCGCGAACGAAAATTTGTGTGGAAATTTAATAATTTCGCGGGGTCTCGGCTTTACGGCGTATTATGTTTTGTCTTCTGGCAAGATCAATGACTTTTTTGAAATTAACAAAACATTTTATCACACCTTCATTGTTTTATTACATATCCTTATCAATATACATGTTTTTCTTTTCCTAGGTGCATACTGAAAGCATGAACCATGTTGATTTAGTTTTGCACATAACAAAGCACATATTGTATCATTTCCTAATTCAGGTCTCCCTTCTGTCTGGATCTTCTTCAACATGGAAAATGTTCTCTCAGAGTCAGCATTACTCACTGAAAGTACCAAACATGCCTTGATTAGCCTACACAACACACCAAACCTAAGATCATTCTCAAAGGGTTCTTTAACTGCATGCCTTTTGATATCAAACGTAGCACCCGAAGCTACCGAAAAATGATTGGTACACAGTTTACAATAGGCATGATCGGGTCCAATATTACTCTTCTGAAGCCAGTCATAATCTTATTCCCACGAAGCATTGTTATTACAGGCAAACTTTTTCTTTTTTGACGATGAACACTAAAATAACGAACGTTTTCTCGGGTTAGAAGCCATTTGTGAAAGTGAAATGACAAGCGCTACGATCGGGATTATATGCATTGTAGTAACAGTGAACAGTACTCAACTTTTTTAATTTGCCAGGCTGGTTCCGAAACAGGGACGCCATTGTGAAAACAAATCACTTAGTATACAGACTTGACCTATAACTTAAAGCTAAACTTCCGAGAGACACGAACGGAACATTTCCGGAAGTACGGAGATCCTAATAAAAGACGCGGATGCGGGTGATTGCGGGTCATATTTACGGAGATACGTATGACCCGCGCGGGTCATAAGATCGTCGCGGGTGAAAGGTTCATTTTGCAGGCGGACCCGCAGAATGCGGGGCATTTAGCAGGTATGACTGGTAGCAGTATGGGATCATTGCTCACATGATCGTGGCCATATATTGTATACTGCTCACACAACAGTGCGTGGCCACACTTTACAAGAGCCGCACTCAGTGGTTCAACTTGCACTAATCCTCCATTGACACCAATGAGTATTGTTGTTTTTATATAGATATACAATTCATTATAATCAATTAATGTCGGGGATCCAAATATTTATGGCTGTACATAGTGTTACTTGTTAAATGAATAGACGAGGGAGGCAATCATCTTTGATAAAGATAATGATATTGTCTCATTATAAATTGCATTGAAGAAATGTCAGATTCATTTTAAGCTCACCTGCCTGAAGGGCAAGTGAGCTTATGTTATGGTGCGGCATCCGTCGTCCGTCCGTCCGGCGTCCGGCGTCCGACGTCCGTCCGGCGTCAACTTTTTGCTTTAAACAACTTCTTCTCAATAACCAAAAGGCCTAGGAAGATGATATTTGGCTAGTAGCATGCTGGGATCAAGGGCTACCAAGTTTGTTCAAATAAATGACCTTGACCCACTTTCAAGGTCACAGGGGTCAAATATGTAAAAATCTTCAAACAACTTCTTCTCAATAACCAAAAGGCCAAGGGTACTGATATTGGGCTTGAGCATGCTGGGATAAAGGGCTACCAAGTTTGTTCAAATGAATGACCTTGACCCACTTTCAAGGTCACTGGTGTCAGATGTCTTTAAAATCTTCAAACAACTTCTTCTCAATAACCAAAAGGCCCAGGGTACTGATATTGGGCCTGTAGCATGCTGGGATGAAGGGCTACCAAGTTTGTTCAAATGAATGACCTTGACCCACTTTCAAGGTCACTGGTGTCAGATGTCTTTAAAATCTTCAAACAACTTCTTCTCAATAACCAAATGGCCCAGGGTACTGATATTGGGCCTGTAGCATGCTGGGATGAAGGGCTACCAAGTTTGTTCAAATGAATGACCTTGACCCACTTTCAAGGTCACTGGTGTCAGATGTCTTTAAAATCTTCAAACAACTTCTTCTCAATAACCAAATGGCCCAGGGTACTGATATTGGGCCTGTAGCATGCTGGGATGAAGGGCTACCAAGTTTGTTCAAATGAATGACCTTGACCCACTTTCAAGGTCACTGGTGTCAGATGTCTTTAAAATCTTCAAACAACTTCTTCTCAATAACCAAATGGCCCAGGGTACTGATATTGGGCCTGTAGCATGCTGGGATGAAGGGCTACCAAGTTTGTTCAAATGAATGACCTTGACCCACTTTCAAGGTCACTGGTGTCAGATGTCTTTAAAATCTTCAAACAACATCTTCTCAATAACAAAATGGCCCAGGGTACTGATATTGGGCCTGTAGCATGCTGGGATGAAGGGTTACCAAATTTGTTCAAATAAATGACCTTGACCCACTTTCAAGGTCACTGGGGTCAGATGTCTTAAATCTTCAAACAGCTTCTTCTCAATAACCAAAAGGCCCAGGGTACTGCTATTGGGCCTGTAGCATGCTGGGATGAAGGGCTTCCAAGTTTGTTCAAATGAATGACCTTGACCAACTTTCAAGGTCACAGGGGTCAAATGTCGTAAAATCTTCAAACAACTTCTTCTCAATAACCAAAAGGGCCAGGGTACTGAAATTAGGCTTGTAGCATGCTGGGATGAAGGACTACCAAGTTTGTTCAAATGAATGACCTTGATCCACTTTCAACCTAATGTCCTTGTTCAACAATCAAGGTCAGAGGCATCATATGTTTTAATCTTTTAATAGGTTCTTATGAAATCTAAAGATTACAAGTGTTAGATTAATAACAGGTGAGCGATGCAGGCCCATTGGGCCTCTTGTTACAATTTTTACTAGACTGAAAAAAATTGCAGTAAATGGAGTGATATGTTTCCTTGATGTTTTTGGGAACACTGTAGATTTGAGATAGGTTTTGTTCCGCAGAAAAGAGCAAATTGAATTTACTGTGTTGAGATGTTTCCTAGCTGTGGTATTGATTTCCAGCGTTCTGTGTTCTGTACACGTCTATGTACGGTCCTTTTTATAGGACAAGGACTGAAGAAAAAATGTTGTCAATCGTAAATATACTAATGAAAAATTTACAATGTGATTGATGGAGGAGAGAAACAGGGTTGTGGAGATGATTAAATCACTCCATCTATTGACTGGTTTTGTCTTTTTATTGATGTGTGATTATTCTATATGATACAAGAAGTAAACTGTAAATTGTCCGGTCACTGCAGAGTGCTTTTTAAAAAGTCTTGTGATGTTCATGAAAGATATGGTATACATCCTGCCTTGGTGTACACAATTCAATAGTTATACTTTATATGTCAATATTTGTTTACAATTTTCCAACTTGTGATGTTTTGATATCATCTTCATATAACTCACAGTCAATTGTCTTATATTTTCTAAAGACATCAGGTTTTACAGAGTGTCTTTTATGATTTTGAAATTAACTGACAAGAGTTGGATAAACACAGGACCAACCTT